AACCACAAACCAAAAGAGATCAAGGAGCAGAAGCAAAGCCAGCCAAGGCCAAGAGGGCAAGAGGCCAAGAGACCTCGGAGCCAAAATGGCTGCGGTTGTATAGGGATCTGAGAAGTGGGGGAAGGGAAGCTCTGGGGCTGGAGAGGTTCAGAGTGGGGGGGCTGGAGTGAGACGTGTTGAGGCGCCAGGACTCAGCAACAGGCCTCGGTGATGCCGAAAGAGACTGGCTACCTGCTGCAGTATTGATCTCTTAAATAAGCACCTCGGGTCCCATTTGCCAGAGATAAGGAAAATTACTCCTTTTATCAAGTAGGGACTATCTAAGTCCCTGAGGGAATGCTGGCTTTTGTCAAAATGCTGGACCCTGGGAAAAGGAATTTCTTGTGATCTAACACAGTCTGTCCTCCTTCAGTTCCATAGGGGCCTGGATTTTACACATGGTCTGCCAGGCCCAGGTATCATTTAGGTTTCCCTTCAGACTCGCCCTTTCCCGCCAATATCTGCTCTGGTCTCTCAAGCCTGCTGTAGTGATGCCTCAGGGGAGTTTCTTCACCCAAACTGTGGGTAAAGGATCGGGTCTTCAGAATATCTACCACAGACAATAGATTGGCCCCGAAGCTCCTGGGAGCCTCTCTAGGCTCTGGACCATCAAACTTGGAGAAGATGCTGCTGAGAGAAAGGGAGCTTTTCTCCTAGGTCCTGGGGGAGAAGTTCTCTGGGATTCCTTTTCAGCTAGTTTGTGAGGGAAGCTAAGTCAATAACCTCTTCAGGAGACCCACAGTCTAAGAGCCCAGTGGACTTTGTCTTGTTCCTGGAATTGGGGTCAGAGCCAAAGCTGGACATTAACTAAGTTAACCAGTTGTAGTGAAAAGCAAACACTGGAGAAAAAAAAAACAAAACCCAGTGGCACTTCCTCACCCCCATGCCCCTAGTTTGTCTTCAAGGTTCTAAAAGAGTTTTAGGTTTAAGCAGAAGGCAGAGGTGTGCACAACCATGTCAGTTCCAGCGTCTCCTACGAGGTCTCCTGACATCATTCCCCCCTTTGACAGGTTTCTTCTTTGGCTGTCACCAGGCCTTAGCCAATTCCTCCTTCCACCAAGAGATTGCTGGCTATTTCCAGTTTCTCAAGATCCATTGTTTCGACAGGTGCTGGTGGCCATACCTTTAATTCCAGCACTGGGGTGGTAGAGGCAGGTGGATCTCTATGACAGCTAGGATCTCTACACAGTAAAAGCCTGTCTCAGAAAAATTAAAAAAAAAAAGTCTTTGTGTGTGTATGTGTGTGTGGTGACTGGAGAGTTGGCTCATCAGTTAAGAGCACTTGCTATCAGAGGAATCGAGTTGAGTTCCCAGCACCCATTTCAGTCCCTTCTCAACAATCTGTAGATCCAACTCTCTCCTCTGGCTTCCACAGGAACTGGCAAGTGAGTATGCCTTCCCATATACAGATATAATTACTAATCAATTTTAAAACTTAAGAAGAAAAACAGCTTCCTGCCATGAGAGTTGTACCACTACCACATAGTGTGTGTGGTCAAAGGATAACTAGATGCCTTTACTTACTGAGCCATCTTTAGTCCGGCTGGCTTTCACCACCCCCAGAGAGAAAAGGGAATATTATTAATTAATCATGACACTTGAGTGATGGCCAAGAGTTTTAACAGACTTCCATACTAAAATAAAAGTGGCTGAAGTGATGGAGTCTTCGAATTATTTTGTTTGTTTGTCTTTTGTTTTCCAAGACAGGTTTTCTCTGTGTAACAGCACTGCATGTCCTGGAACTCACTTTGTAGACCAGGCTGGTTTCAAACTCACAGAGATCTGTCTACCTCTGTCTCACAAGTGCTAAAACTTTGTTTTTTTAAAAATAAGTAAATAAATAAATATACTGGCAGGGCAGGACATAATGCCTCACATCTATAATCCAACATTCTGGAGGCAAAGGCAGATGAATCTTTCTGAATTCTAGGCCAGCCTGGTCTACAAAAGGAGAGTTTCAGGTCATCCAGGGCTACACATTGGGCTTCTGTCTTTAAAAAAAATACATACAATTAGACCCATTTATAATTTTTAAAAATTATTTATTCTTATTTTATGTGCATTGATGTTTGGCTTGCATGTATGTCTGTGTGAGAGTGTCAGATCTTAGGGTTACAGACAGGTGTGAGATGCTGTGTGGGTGTCTGGAGCTGAACCCAGGTCCTCTGGAAGAGCAGTCAGTGCTCTTAACCGCTGAACCATCTCTCCAGCCCCCATCTATATTTTTTTTTTAATTTAAGATTTAAGCTGGGCATGGTGGCACATGCCTTTAATCCCAGCACTTGGGAGGCAAAGGCAAGCAGATCTCTGTAAATTCGAGGTCAGCCTCGAGCAAGTTCCAGGGCGGCTAAGACTACACTGAGAAACCCTGTCTCAAAAAACCAGACCAGCCAGGCGGTGGTGGCGCACGCCTGTAATCCCAGCACTCGGGAGGCAGAGGCAGGCGGATCTCTGTGAGTTCGAGACCAGCCTGGTCTACAGAGCTAGTTCCAGGACAGGCTCCAAACCACAGAGAAACCTTGTCTCGAAAAAAACCAAAAAAAAAAAAAAACAAAAAAAACAAAAAAAAAACAAAAAACAAACAAACAATAAAACCAACCCAAAACATTCATTCATTCATTCATTGCGTGTGTGTGTTTTGTGTGAATGTATGCCGTGTATGTTCGGGTGCCTGAGGCCAGAAGAGGGCATAGGGTCTCCTGGGAGATCCTGGATCTTCAAGAGTTACAGGCAACCATTAGCCTCCCCTGTGGATTCTGGGTGTAGGGCCATATTATATAGGCCCATATTCCTACATTGTATGGCAGCCAGACTTTCAGGCCACAGTTTGCACCTGCCACATAGAAGGTGGTCACCCAGCCTTTGAGACAAACTGAAGCCATCCTAAACAAAGGGTCAGGATCTGCTAATGTCGCTCTGCTCCTTCTTTGTAATTGGGGAGAAGCTGCCTGGGAAAGAGGTGCTAATTCTAAGTGACAGAGCAGACATAGTTGTGGGTGTGACCTAAAGCACGGGCTACCTAGGAAACAGAATGCTAATGAATTTCCCCCTCAGTTTACATTTTTGTATAAAAGCTGTTTGGAGAATAAACGCGGGTGATTTTCAGGATGTGAACTCAGGATTTCATGAGGGATCCCTGAAAACTTCTTCCTGATAAAGTCATGTGAGTTGTGTCTTTATTCCCACGTCTCCCTTCTGGTCAGAGATATAATTTATGGTACAGGACACTGGGAAGGATATTCAGGTCCTCTGGAAGAGAAGAAAGCACTCCTCAGCTCCAAGCTCTCTCCAGCTCTTCCGGGTAATATTTAACTAAGCAGGTTTAAGCAACTTTGAGAACTCCTTGGTAAAATGTTAGGCTCTGAGGTGTTTGGGGGTTTGTGTGTGTGTGTTTTATTTTGTATAAGTTAGAGACAGTGTTTAACTCTGTAGCCCAAGCAGGGATTCCTCCTGCCTTAGCCTCTCAAGTGCAGGGATAAACCACCATTCCAACAGCATTTGAAAACTTGAGGCTTCTTTCTCTTGGAAAAGTTTTTTGTTTTTTTGTTTTTTTTGTCTGCCAATTCTCTACCTCTTTGGCTATCCCAGTACGTCTATACATTTATTTTAATGTATGAATTGACAAGAATTTGGCACTTTGAAAAAAACAAAACAAAACAGACAAATATTTATTGGCATTGCATTTGCATTAATTTGGGAAGGAATGATTTTCTTTTAATCAAACTGTAACTCTAGTTCCAGGAATTGAACTCCTTGTTCTTGCCTCTGCAGGCCTCGAACATGCAAGTTGTGCACAGACATACAGGCAGGCAAGGCACTCATACACATAAATTTAAAAGTAATAAAAGCAAAAAAAAATAAAATCTTTAAAAGGTAATGAGGCACATAGTCTGTAGTCCTTTAAATATCCTGGTACTACACAGCGCATCATCAACTTACAGAACTTATTGCCAGGCATCCCTTCAGCACTAAAATGACAACCAGATGGGGTTTCTGTCAAGCACAAACCTATAGAGATGAAGAGAATTAAAAGAAACAAAAAGATCACGTTTTTTGGTTGGTTGGTTGGTTGGTTGGTTGTTTTTTTCAAGCCAGAAAGTAGTTCATAGTGGAGCTTAGTCTGGAAACCCTGACAAAAGTTCAGTTTAGAGCTGGGGAGAGCCAGAGGCCAGTGGAGGTGGGGAGGTGCAGAAGGAATTGATTGTGATGGCAGTACTATGTAGTCCCGGGTGTTTTGCCTGCGTGTACGGCTGTGCACCATGTGCACACAGTGTCCAAGGAGGCCAGAAGAGGGAGTTGGGTTCCTCTAGGACTGGGTTACAGATGGTTGTTAACAGCTGCATGAATGTTGGGAATGGCAGCTCTTGGCCACCGATCTATCTTTCCAGCCTCGGTGACCTGGCAGACCTGGTAGAACCTTTTTTTTCTCCCCTCGAGACAGGGCTTCTTTGTGTGACTTTGGCTGTTCTGGAACTCCCTCTGTAGACCAGGCTGGCCTCAAACTCACAGAGACCCACCTGCCTGTTTCCAGTGTGTTGGAATTAAAGGCGTGCACTGCCTGGCTTCCGACCTAATAGATTTTAAAATCCCTTACAACACTGATTTTGTAACACTAATCTCTAAGGAAAATGTTCACTGATGCCCAGATATTACTTCACAGTGTAAAGTTATTGCTGATATTGGGAGCATAGTCCAACAGCCACCTTTCAACACCCTAAATTTAAGGTAGGCATAGTAGACCATGCCTGCCAGCACTTGGTAGACAGAGATGGAGAATCAAGCATTCAAGGTTAGTCTTGGTTACTTAGTGAGTTCTAGGTTGGTCTGGGCTACATGAGACCTTGTCTCAAATAAAATAAAATTAAAATAAATACACAAACAACAAACAAAAACCCTAAACTTAACATAGCTGACAGGGTTAGAGTCATTTTTAACTGCTACCAACTCCTGTTTAATCACAGATGATCTTTAGATGGTGGAAGATTTCTCTGAGAAGCGAGTTTCGGACAGCAAAACCTGGAGAGATAAAGGAAACCCATGAAGACTTCCTAGACAACTCTAATCTTCAAGGTGAGGCAATCACACCCCAGCATATGCGGCAGCGATAGATCACAGGCTTCATACTTATGTAATTATGTTCTTAGAAATAATAGGCTGTGGAGAGATGGCTCAGTGGTTAAAAGCATTGCCTGCTCTTCCAAAGATCCTGAGTTCAATTCCCGGCAACCACATGATGGCTCATAACCATCTATAATGAGGTCTGGTGCCCTCTTCTGGCCTGCAGATATACACACAGTACAGAATATTGTACACATAATAAATAAATATTAAAAAAAAAAGAAAAAAGAAAGAAATAATAGGCTGTGCTGGTGCAAGCCTTTGATCCCAGCACTTTGGAGGCAGAGGCAGGTGGATATCTGAGTTTGAGGCTGGCTAACCTGGTCTACAGAGAGAGTTCCAGGACAGAGAAAACTATTACACAGAGAAACCCTGTCTTGAAATACCAAACCAAAACAAAACAAAACCAAAAAAAAAAAAAAGAAAAGAAAAAGAAAGAAAGAAAGGCGATGGCATAGTGGTTAAGCCTATACTGTGCTCTTGCAGAGAACAGGAATTCAATTACCAGCGCCTGTGGGAGGAGGGGTTTATAACTCCAGCTCCTGGAATCTAGTGACCTCTTCTGGCCTCTGTGAGCAACTGTACAATCCACACCCACATTAAAAAAAAAAAAAAAAAGGTTTGTTTGTTTGCTTGATTTTTGTTTTTTCTAGATAGGGTTTCTTGTAGTCTTGGTTGTCCTGGTCCTGGAACTCACTCTGTTGTAGACCAGGCTGGCCTTTAACTCACAGAGATCCAACAACTTCTGTCTTCCAAGTACTGGGATCAAAAGCTTGTATCACCATGGCCCAGCTAAAACAAGTCTTTCAAAATCTCTTTAGAATCAAAAAACTAAATTTGAGATAGTGTCTTCTGCATCTTCGCATTGTGTCATTTTCTGGGGAGATGCGAACAGATGTATGCTTGCCCCAGATAGTATAACAATAACAGACGTGATTCCACCCAAGTACGGCGAGAACACTGGGGTTAGTCACAGGCATCTGGGTGACTCAAAGGCAGCTGTGTCACTGAAAAGACCAGCCCTGAGTGGCTGATGACTCAGATGGCTTCGTCCGCACACACGTTGCAGGCAACCCGGTAGCCACTGCTGTTCATCTCTACCCTCCGGTCTTGGAGAACCATGCAGAAATACATCTCCCTCAGCAGGAGAGAAAGAGGCCACACATAGCAGGTCTGGGGGAGGGAGGATCATTCGGCCAGCTGGAGCCTCCGTGCTGCCACTAGCCAGCTGTTGTAACTACAGTGACAGCTCAGCCCCTTTGTGAGTCACTTTCCTTGTTCGGACTGGAGATAATCATGGCCACTTTATTCAGTCATCCTGAGCCTTCTGTGACTCGCTGGGCGTTATATGTAATCAGCTCTTAATTATCGTTTGCTGTATTGTTAAGCAGACAGCGTTCCACTGGACTTACTTTTCCGTCTCCTCTTGGTCATCTCCCTAAGATCCCCTCCATGGTTTTCTCATGCAGATATCCTGGTTCTGAGCATGTCACTCGTGCTGCCTGGACCTCTCAGTGCTACTTAGCAAGCAGGTGGTATTTCCTGTCATTTGACCTCAGTCTTAGTTTTTGTCCCTCACTGGCTTCTTAGGCTTCAAGTCAAGATGACTAGGAGTTCAAATCTGTGCCTTGCGCCTGTCTGTTTATGGTTATGCCCTGGGGGCTCTGGTTCAGACTCTAACTTTCAATGCCATCTATAGGGCTCAGTAGTGAGGAGCATCTCCTATTCTTGCAGGGGACCCAATTCCTGCTTCTGGCACCGTGGGCAGACACACACACACACACAAACCTCTTACTGGGTTGCCTCATCCAGCCTTGATGTGATGGTATATTCCCCCCTCCCCGCCCCCAAGACAGCGTTTCTCTGTAGCTTTGGAGCTCCACACACACACACACACACACACACACACACACACACACACACAAAACTATAATTTAAAAAATCTTCTAATCTCACCTTCCATGAGATGGTAGGTGGGAGGGGGTAACCTCAAGCCACAAATTCTGATGTTACTCTTTATGTCTCTTCCTATCAGTGTTGGGCCCTTCCCAATCACGATAATCTGGGCAGTGGCAGGCAGGTTCCAAGAAAACCGGTGCCCTTAACCTCTGTCTGAGCCATCTCTCCAGCCCCTTCTAGCTCTTTTAAGCCCTTGGATGACACAGTGACACAGTCCCAATCGCAACCTCAACCTCAGGAGACCCTGTTTCAAAAATGAACACAAAAGGTCTATTTTTTTCTGGGATGTCTCCACTGGCTTGCCCACTATTCAGTCTGCTGACACTGCCTTCTTAGCGAATGTTTCCTTCAACCACTAGATAGAAAATCACAGCCTTTCTCCAGAATGGCGTGTCTCCCATATACTCATTGTCAAATGAGACACCATGCATTCAGTTGTTTGTTTCTTGTCTATTTTATTGTGGTAGGAACTTGGCTTGTTGATGGGTCCTTGGTGCCACTTAGAACAATGATTGGTACACAGCTCGGTAAATAAATTATCATATGAATTATTTAAGAAAGTTCTTCCTTCCTTCCTTCCTTCCTTCCTTTCTTCTTTCCTTTCTTCCTTTTTTTTGGCAGGGTCTCTGTATGTAGTCTTGGCTGTCCTAAAACTAGCTATGTAGATCAGGTTGGTTTTGAACTCATAGATACCTGCTGCTGGCTCCTAAGCGTTTGGATTAAAGATATTCAAGAACATGCTTGATCTTATTTATATGTGTGTGTCTGCATATGGGTTTGTGTAAGTACAAGTAAAAGCTCCACCAAAGACCAGACTAGGCCTTCTGATCCCCAGTGCTAGAGTGAAATATTGTGGAATAAGTTAACTGAAGAGACCACTGGTCTCCACCAAACACTAGTAATATCTTGAGATAGCTTTTGAGGTATGGAGCAGAATTTCCTTCCCTCTCTACCACCTTTCTGCTCCTCACTTGCCCAATGTTCCCACCAGTGTATTTGATCACCAGTTGTGGTGGTGCACCCTGGTAGGATTTGCTGAAGGATGCAGAGCCAGGAGGTAGGAGGATCATGAGTTCGAGGTCAACCTGGGCTACGCATTTAAAAAAAAGAAAATGCCTAGATCTATGATTCCCTATGTCCTGTTACTCTAAAAGCTTAATGAAAATGTTATATTAGGAGCTGGAGAGATGGCTCAGAGGTTAAGAGCACCGGCTGCTTTCCCAGAAGTCCTGAGTTCAATTCCCAGCAACCACATGGTGGCTCACAAATATATATAATGACATCTGGTGCCATCTTTAGGTATGCAGGTGTACATGCAGGCAGAACACTTTATTATTTACATAATAAATAAATCTTTTTGTTCTTTGTTTGTTTGTTTTTTGAGACAGTGTTTGCCTGTGTAGCTTTGGAGTCTGTCGTGGAACTTGCTCTGTAGAACAGGCTGGCCTCAAACTCACAGAGATCTGCCTGCCTCTGCCTCCTGATTGCTGGAATTAAAGGTGTGTGCCCCCACCGCCTGGCTAATAAATCTTAAAAAAAAGATAGAAAGAAAGAAAGGAAAAAAGAGGAAGAAAAAGGGAAGAAAAGAAAAAGAAAATGTTATGTTAGAACACGGAATTTGGAGCGTCCCAAATCTGTCTTCCTTCAATGTGTTCACTCCTTTTTGGCTCCAGAATAAACTCTGACCTCCTTTGAGGTTGGAGTTGTGGTTTCACAAGAACAGGGTTACTGAAAGGAACCTCAGTGGCTCTGTCCCTGTACCTGAGAAGAACTGAGCAAGACGTGTGTTGCTGGAGAATTACGGTTCCTCTTGGCAGGCCTAGTTCTCTCTCTCTCTCTCTCTCTCTCTCTCTCTCTCTCTCTCTCTCTCTCTTTTTAAATATTGATTTATTATGTATACAATATTCTGCCTACACATATCCCTGCAGGCCAGAAGAGGGCACCAGACCTCATTACAGATAGTTGTGAGCCACCATGTGGTTGCTGGGAATTGAACTCAGGACCTTTGGAAGAGCAGGCAATGCTCTTAACCGCTGAGCCATCTCTCCACCCAGGCAGACCTAGTCTTATTGATGAAAGAATTTTAAAAGATGGACTCTGAAGGAAACTCAAGAACCATTTTATTAGGGTTTGGGAGGAAAATCACAGGGCAGAAGAGCTGTATATCCTGGCAATGGACAGGAGGAAGGAGATGGAGAAACCAGGGTTTGAGTTAGGGTTCAGTAGAGCAGGTAGCTGGGGCTGAGGTGATGTCTCTGCTGTTAAGAGCACTGGCTTCTCTTTCAGAGAACTTGGCTTTGATTCCCAGCACCTTGAGGCTGTTCATAACCCAGTGTAACTCCAGTTCCAGGGCACCGAATGCCCTCTTCTGGTCTCTGTGGGCACTGCCTGCACATGGTGCAGAGACATACATAAAAAATAAAAACAAAAGAGAGCATGCGTGGCAGCACACACCTTTAATTCCAGAGAGGCAGAGGCAGGCAGATCTCTGTCGCATGGGCTACAAATCGAGTTCCCAAACAGCCAGAGGTTCACAGAGAAATCCTGTCTCCAAAAACAGAGGTGGGGGGCTGCTAACACCTGTAAAACTGAAGGTGGGAATGAGAAGGACCCTTGTCACAGCAAACATACTTAGTATCCAAAGAAGAGAAAGAAAAAGGAAAAAAGTATGCTTCTCAGTTAGAACTCAGAAATAAGGGAGTGGACGATAGTATGTAGTGTTCTAATCATTGGGATGGGACAGATTAGGACTAAGATTCTATCCTTATGACCAGGAGGAAATGGCTTTTCCTTCATGGGCCTCAACAAATTTCTGAGATATCTCATTGTAAGTGTTAGGTGGGGTAAAAAAATAGTCCTGAGGGAGGGGTCCAGTAATCTGGCCTCCATCCCTCTTGGTGCTTGTTCAGATGTCTAAATTTGGGCATATGGCTGCCAGAGTCCAGGCTGGGACCCTAAAATCTCCAGTTCCACAAAGGGAAATTCTTCAGGCT